AAATGTTATGTTGCAGAGTTTGATCCCTGCGAGTTTGAAGGCCGATTTTGGCAGTTTGGGGAGAAGTTTGAGAGCTATGACAAGATTAACAGATGCAAGCGTGTCTGCTTCTGCCAAGGGAACGTCAATGGTGTCTACTGTAAACCAGGGTAGGGAGCCATTGCTTGTCATTGTACTGACTACCCTTTTGAAATGCAGGTTGAAGCCTCTGGTCTTCAGCAACAGATGCATGTAAGGGGCGACTAACGGGATCAGGTGCTCAGGCTCGCTGACTTGGTTGACACATGTCATTGTATCCCTATTGCAGATGTATGTTCATGGTGTTGATCACTAGATTGTCTGGTCCACACTCGGATTATTTACAGATCGCCGCCATATAGCTTGAACATTGCTGTCTGCGGCAATAAACAACAAACAATTTTGAAAGCAATTTGAAACAGTTTCACACAGAATGAACAGCGACACAGTCTTATCTTATCTATATAACAGGTGAGCAGTTGGGACTACAGGTCAGAAAATGTCCCCAGCAGCATATGCTTGCTGTTGCGACTGAATGTTTGAGTTGTCAAGATCAGCAACTCCGTGACTGTACATCATCCTACACAGACTGCATGTTGTTTAGGAAATGTCACAATGCTAAATTAGGCTTCAAACAACAAACTTATAAATATTTAACTATCGGCTGCAGTTCATGAATGCTAGCTAGCTCAGATATATTTTTGTAGACATTTTGATAACAGCCTTTTAGCATGTTTCAGTCGTCATCTACAGTTAGGCTGGTTTTTTTCTGTAGGCGCCACAACTTACTGTGCAACGTTGCTTTGCCCCCTGAGTGAGTGACTGCGTGGGTTTTCCGCCGCTTTTATATTCCAACAATATCACGGCGGGGACACCAGAAATGGGCTTCACACATTACCCAGGTGGGGAATCGAACCTGGGCATTGGCGAGAGGAGCGAAAGCTTTAACCACTAGGATACCCCATCGCCCTTTGCTCCCATGAGCTGACACACCATGATATAATTGAAATACTGTACACAGCAACCTTAAACACTCACTCACTCATAATAACAGGTAGAGATTCCACTCTCATCTGCTTCTCAACTAGCTAAGTTGTTTCCTTTTCTGTAGTATGTGATCAATAACGGTGTTCTGATGTTTCAGATGCACAAGATAACAGATGGCTCCAGGTCAATTCCAGGAAGGTCATTCTTCCCAAGGTCAATGAACAAATAAAACTAACTCGGCAATTATGTATTTGATTTATTTGTTGATAATATCAGGATGAGTATTTACATTATGGTATGAAATGTCAGCTCCTGACATAGTGGTCACCATAGAAACATGTAATAGTATCCACACAACTGCTTCCACTAAATGTCAAGTCTAGCAACATGGAATGAAAAAGGGCAAGAGAAAACGTTAACAATGCAAACACTGTAAGTAGTGATGTGGAAATGTGTATTTTCTCTTACTGACACGAGATCGTTGAATGTCAAACATAATACATCGTCATTGTCGAACATAGTGGCTTGTATTGAGCAGAAATCAATTTCAAGCATACATGTGTCAAGTATGTAAAGGAAACAAGCATCACTCCTCATTGACTTTGAAAGCATGACACTGCCTTGAGTATTTTGTACATTTCCCTTTGTATTTTAGACAACCGATTTAGAATATAAAATAAATAAAATTTCATTGATAAAACATATGAAATGTAATAATCCAACAATTATTGTCATTGGGATCATCACTTTTTTGATAAATTCACAGAACATACAGACACAATAACGATTAGGGTTTCACTTGACCTTACCATCTTGCATCAATCATATCCAATAATTTAATCACAACCAATTCAATATCACATAAAGAAGTTGTAAGGAATGTAGCAGGGGCTACGTTTGATTCTTAAACACAAATACTATTTTGATGACAACATATTTTGATCTATAAACTGTACCAAGAGTGTACCCTTGTATCACAACTACAGCTAACTATTTTGATCACACTGGTACAGGGTTAGAATTACCTTTTGATCTACCTGTGCAAATCCAGAACTAGAACAATTAACTATTCACCATTCCTAATGTCTAACCCTGATTTTTATATCACAATATGTAACTGAGGCAGTGCTATCTTACAATCTCACAGATTGTAAAAATAGCAGATTCACAATCTTAATCACATTTCACAACTGTCAGATCTTTTACAATTTAAAAAATAATTAAATTCAGGATGAACTGTAAAAAGTTAATAGCAGAAAATGCAACAAATATAGGAAAGTCCAAAACATATGCCAGTTTTGAAAAGACAAACTTTCCTGAAAGGATGAAGTAGAAATGTAACGATTCATTCAAGATATGAATCAGAATACAGAGAACAATCAGACATCCAGATCTACTACAGAAGCTTAGTTTAAAACAAACAATTTGGTTATATTTCATAAGCTGCAATGCTTTATCATCAAGAAAATGAACTGCCAATATTCCGACAACCTACCTAATTTCTCAGCACTGTGGTGCAAATTACAGAACATACAGTATGTACATTTATCTGGAATGCGACACAGTGTTTGCTTTTCTGAATATTACTTTCCTGACAACTGAATAACTAACTCATGTTACTCAGCCAGGATGATACTGGCACAGATGAATGAAACGCCCTAGTTGACTTTTATCACTAATGTAGTTATCATGAAACGAAAAGAGAGCAATAAAACCTCACAAATTATAGCACAATGATGTGAAAAGTATATCATATACAAATCCATCTATGAGCTTATACTATGACGTACTGTAAATCATGAAATTAATGCAAGCATTTACCTCAACATATTCAAGTTTATTGTCATATGTTTACTGTGGACAGGTAAAAACAATGACATACGTCGGCTGATTAGTTGATAAAGTACTCGCAGGAATTTCATGACACATTTAAGCCAGGGGTGAAACCTGTATTAAAGTGATATATTAACTTCATGATTTACATTCCTTAACCTTCACCCATAGTGACACTGATACATTTAAGCTTATTTTGTGAAAATATAGGATATATTTCTAGTTTAAATAAAAAAATAAAAAATTGAATAATGAAGTACACTTGTATTAGTTTGTGAGTCAATTTTATGATTATGAATCATGCAATTCACAGAGCTTAAAAATAACTGCAAACAGTATTTCCCTGAAACCTAAAAGCAACAAAAACATGATTTTATCTTGGCTGAATGCATACTTTCAGAATTGTATTTGTACTAGGACAAGGTTTTCTGATATCTCTAAGCTAACAGAGTCACTAGAATGACAAAGAAAATAACATACAAATCCATTTTGTTTCTGGAGGGACACCAACAATAGTTGCCCCCTTGGTTGCCCCTAGTTCCACCTTTCACAGTCTTTTACCCCAGAAAATTTGGTTAGTTATTTTCTCGTCCACTGTGATGTTGCATAAGCAGCAATTAAAAAGGCATTCCAGATTTAGGTATTGTAGTCACTGTTGGCATTAATTAGTGCCCTTATACTTACTTGTGAAAGTCTATATTTGTGTCCATCCAGTTAGTAATTTAACAATTCCATCACATGAAAAACAGAGATAAAAATAATCCTCCCTATTTCAAACAAGGCAGTAGTCTGAAAATCACACAGCATTTCTGAGAGTTACCTCCCTTCAATCAGTTCTGTGCTATTCGCTGCACAACCTCTTTCTGTATTAAAAGTGTGGGATAAAAAATCCATTGTCAAGTCAATACAAACAAATCAAATGCAACAAACTGAAGCAATTCACAACTCGGTAAATTGGGCAAAATAAACTGGCAAAACATGGCTAGGAAATAGAATGTAAGCACATCTAACTGAAACGTTTTCCTGAGATATACATAATTTGCCAACATCAAGCTCTACTTACAAACGTAACTAGCATAGTGATGGAAAGTGGAACTAAAATATTAGGAGTGGTGATGATGAGGAACATGCAGATATGTCTGTGAGGGTCACTGGTGATTAAAATCTATAGGATAACATTTTAGAATCTAAAACAATGTACAATAAATAAACATGTAAAACAGCAATATTAATATAGACAGTCATGTGACTAGTACCCAACAAGCAACATATATTTCAGCCTATACAAAGGGCTCCTAGTCATAACAATTATTGCTCCAATTCATATATGTCATCAGTGTTTCTCAAAGGCAGAGGCTAAAGATCTCTGTCAGGGTTCAGAGAGAGTGAGCGAGTTTGATTAGCTCTTGCAGAGTGAGTGAGTGAGTGAGTGAGTGAGTATGTTTTTATGCCAGTTTTGGCAATATTCCAGCAAATTCATGGCAGGGGCACCAGAAATGGGCTTCACACATTGTACCCTTGTGGGGAATTGAACTCGGGTCATCGGCGTGACGGGCAAATGCTTTAACCACTAGGCTACCCCATTGCCCCTGTTGTTGTTAGCTGTGTTTCAGTTATATCACGGTATGTCTGCTTGGTGATGAGGAAAGTCCAAAGTGATGCAGGTCTCAGACATTTACCACTGTGGTGAAACCCACAAGTTTGGTACTGACAAACCCAGAAACTCAATCAGAATAAATGGGGATTCAAACATTAACAGGCTTCTGAAATATCTAAGGGACAACTCTGGACAGCGAATCCTGTTCCTCAGATGACTGGGCTGTTGAGTGAGTGAGTATGGTTTTATGCCGATTTTAGCAATATTCAAGCAATATCACAGTAGGGAACACCAGAAATGGGCTTCACACATTGTACCCATGTGGGGAATCGAACCCGGATCTTCAGCTAACTAATGACATCTGAGTACCCTTTCTAACATTAGTTTTCGTATCTTCGGACACCAAAGAGTGACTGTTGTAAAAACCAAATATTGATGAAAGAAAACACTTGACGTTGCATTCCTACAAACAAATAATTAAAGTATCTTTTTGACAGCAAATTTGGCAGATAAGATCCTAAAATATTTTGATTCCTTCGTCATTATCTGTGACTTTGAGAAACACTTTTGGGTATATTTTGTTTGATTTAACTGATGGATTTGACTTAATATTGCTTGGCAAGCACGTATTCAGTTGTTTTGATGACATCTCCGCTGCATTTTCATTATCAGAGTGAAACAACCATGAATAATGGCTGTATTTACAACATCTTGTGTGTTGTTTAACACTAAATCAACAATATTCCAGTTACGGCAGTGAGTAAATATTCAAGGCTGGGTCGGATAATCCAGTGACTGACATCATGAGCATCAATCTACACAATTCTAAACCGAAGACACGCATCAACTGAGTCAACAACCCTGACCACCCAAACCACTTTGTAGCCTCCTACGACAATGATGACCTTTAGCGCAGCAACTGCAAATAGTGAGTGAGTGATTTAGGTTTCACGCTACTATGAAGATTATTTCAGTTAAATCCTGTCAGTTTAAGGATGGTAGAAACCACAAAATTGATGACATGTACCACTCTGGCTCATAACAGGCTGAATATGGGTTTTGAAAAATCAGATCCTGTCATGGTAAGGGACACAACTCCATATAATAATTTTTTTCAGCTTTTCCACTATGTGAACCAACAATTAACAAATTCTTGATGTACATGTGAATCTTTTCAAAATTGGAACTCACATGGTAAAAGCCTTACAAATAAAAAAAGGAAGGGAACCATTCCCAGAATTCATTGCCATCCATTGGATGACTGACCTACAACAAACACAAAAAGGATTCTTCAAAGATCATACGATATATTTCCAAATCGGTATGGAAACTGTATGAGGAAACGTCCATCACTCAAACCAACATCTCTGTGAGAATCATATGAAAGCCCTAGCTAGATCAACAGTTCTAAAACTTGTACGTGCGTTGTGAAATACTTGGAAGACTACGGGTCCTGAATAAAATCTATGTACAGTACAACTATCGGGTTAAATGGTGACCTTCCAGTTAATTGGCAAAGCACACATGAATGTCATTGGCATCATGTCAGATGTCATGTAGTTTACTTGATTTATTGATATTTTTACCTATCATACAAATTGTATGATGAAGAGATTATTAAATAATTAGAGTGAGTGAGTTTAGTATTACACCGCTTTTAGCAATATTCCAGCGGGGGACACCAGAAATGGGCTTCACACATTGTACCCATGTGGGGAAACGAACCCGGGTCTTCGGCATGACGAGTGAATGCTTTAACCACTTGGCTACCCCACCACCCCTAAATAATTAGGGTAGAAAATAAATGAATGGAATAAATTTGGTATTTTTTCCTAAAAACCCCAAAACAATAGCACTGCGTTGAAGGTGACATAATCCAGATGGTTGTATTCCATTAACATTATCTGTAAGTATAACTCAATAATGGGTCAAAGTAATATCAGATATACATTTCATAATTGTCTAGAATTACAGGGGTTGACAATGTCAAGGTTTCCATAGAAACACAATCTTAAATCAGTGTCATATTTTTTATCCCCCATTTGTAATGTTTTTTTGCCTTTTCTTAATCCTGAAGGTCACCATGTCAAGGTGAAGAATGTGGTTGCTATGGTAACTTGGTTATTCACACGTTGCTATAGTTACAAAAACATCTCTTAAAACAAAAGCTTTCCATATATTCACAAAAATGTACATTGATTATGTTAGCATGATTTTTTTTCTATTGGGAAACCAAACCTGATTGTACTGAGAAAAACTGAATGGTTGACTATACCAAGACGAATGTGCTATATAAATATATCAACAAATTTTTTACCATGTCGTGATTAGATACATCAGCTTGAGATTCAAGATTTGTTGAAAACAACCACAGCAACTTCTGTTTTACAGATTTCAGCATAGTGGTAAATGTTATAATATTTGGTGCCCTTTCCTCTGAAACAAATCTTGGATTTGCAATAATACAAAGCACTAAATATTCTTCCTTCTATCTGAGACAGGCATTTTCGCTAATTGTGCTCGATAACATACTATTTTTCCTTGAAGCAAAACTATTCACATAATTCTAAAATGGGACTAAACTGAAATTGCAAATTTCATGTTCTTTGGCTTTAAATAATTCTTCAGAACTGGTTTCGTTTTCTTGTAATCACTTAAACTACTTGTCTTAACTGCAACACTAATCTTAAATGAAACTACATGGAAACATTAAATAACTTAAAAAAACAATATAATTCAGAGAATATGGCAAACATCCAAACAAACAATTTCTGGATTTGAGAAGTCAAAATGTGATAAGCATCCATCTTGGATTTCACTTGGTGTGGGTTTTTTTCATTCAAAGAAAAATTAAACTGTGTCTTAATTTTCACACAATATAGCCTTCCTTGTTTGGAGGATCGCCTGGCAACAAACTTCTGGTTGAAGAAAATGTCAGATATCACTTCCAAACAATAGGGATCACCTTTGCTTCATGTTTTTCATCATATCCATTTAATCCATGTATCCAGTTGTCATTCGCACCACGGAATATTCAGATCCCATGTCCAAATTTCAGCCATTTTCACACACTGAAAATCACTAGTCCAATTTTCTTGACTGTTCTAACACAGACTCCGCTTATCCATCAGTGAAAATGTACCCAAATCTTTCCCAGGCATGTTTCACAAATGTTCATCTCAGTAGAACCCGAGTCATCTCTCACAATTTGTATTAGCACAGTAGCACAAGATCCCACCTAGCCTCATTTGACGAGGTTGAGCCTCACTTCCGTGGTAGGATCTTTACCCTGGTTGATCAAAGAAATGGATGTGCGACCTGCTCTCACGATCTCGGTGACCATATCCTTACAATCACAGCATATGCTCATTAGGGGCCCTTTCGTCACTTTAGCGGTGACGGGTTTGATTAGCATGGACTGGGACCTTTGCAGGGGTTTCTTGCGGCCAGGGCGGTTGTCGAGATTGGGTCTCCTCGGAACAGCAGGTGTGGGTGGAGATGACCCCGTGGGACTTAAACTGAAATAGAACATTGGCGTCATTAGTTTTGTCTTCATCTATAGCGCTCAGAATCACTGTTTTGTTCTGTTGTATAATGCCACACTCTGCAATATTCCACCTATTCCAGTGGCATGCAGATAATCATGTCTGGACCAGACAAACCAACAATGCCAACATTACCACAGCTATATGTGAGTGAGTATGGTTTTACGTCACTTTTAGCAATTTACAGGGGTAAATAAAGAATACTCGCCCAGCCATACCCCCTTAATACCCCCTTAAATATACATAATCAGGGTACCCATGAAGATCTTTGTTAGAACTGATCTTCAGCAACCCCTGCTTGTCGTAAGAGGTACCTAACGGGATCGGGTGGTCAGGCTGGCTGACTTGGTTGACACGACATTGTATCCCAGTTGTGTAGATCGATGTTCATGCGGTTGATCACTGGATTGTCTGGTCCAGACTCGATTATTTACTGACCTCTGCCATATAGCTGGAATATTGCTGAGTGCAGTGTTAAGCAACCACCCAACCAACTACATTATTAAGGTAAACCTGCATTTGAACTCACAAATCTAGACTCCATGATTCCTAAAGGACACGGAGAGCGGAAGGTCGCGTGTTCGATCCCCGGCCGTGTCATACCAAAAGACTTGTATGGTACTTGTTGGTCCCTGCCTGGCGCTCGGCATTAATGGGTACAACAAGGACTGGTCGGCTCAGAGTCAGTATAATGTGTCTGAGTGGGGTATTCATGCTTCACTGCGGCATGGTATCTCAGTGGGCTAGCACTATAAAACCAGCTTAAGTCTGGGCTAGTACAAACAGCCGCACATACACATACACACACATGCACGTCGTCATATGAGCGAAATATTCTCAAGCACGACGTTAAACCCAATTTCACCTCACCTCACCTCACCTAAAGGACACAACTACTTCCACCTCTCAGAGACACCTGATATTACTGGGCCTCCTGTGCTCCAGACAGTGAGAAACACACCCACAAAGAACAAGGCTTCAAATTTTGTATGCCTCGAACTGTACAACACACATGGATGAACAGAACTTCACAACTTTACCTTTTGTATGTTTCAATGGCTTCCTTCATTTCGGGGCTGAGCGGAGTCGGACTCAATGTGTACACAGGGATGTTCTTGAAGTGTTCGGTCGGCACATGCATCTGAAGTCAACCACAACATGGTTAAACCGCATCATCAATGGATATGAGCTCACATGAAATAAGGCCAGACCAATTTTATTTCTCGTTTTACGGATTTTTGTCCTCAGAAAACCTAAAGGCAGGAGGGAAAAAATTAAAAATAAAAATCACCAGTCGAAGTATATTCCTTTAAAATACTAAAAGTATTTTAGTTTTGGCAATTTATGAAGTGTATATGGGGCAAAAAATAATCAAAAATGTTTTGGGGGGTAAGTTTACATTTTTGGACAATAAATTCATGAGGATTTTATTTTTTTGAGCGGGGATAATTAAATTTTTTTTCTTCTTCTTATTCTTGAAAAAATATGACCGGCAGATCCGTAAAACAAGAAATAAAATTGGTCTGGCCTAAGTAATAATTGTAATAATCTTGTATCATTCAGAATATAGACTTGAACGATGAAGCGTCAAAATCAAGACGAAAACAAAAGTCATCCAGAGAGGACATATCTGCCAGATCCAGAGTTTGGCTACTCATACCACGTTTTTGGTTCACTCTTTATTTCATTAATAAAGAAATAATGCTGTTCATGATATTTCAAGATCCCCCAAAATCAAAAGGCACCAGTTCACTACTACACTATATTGCCAGTTTAATCCAAAATCATTCAACAATTTTGGAGTTGTGGTTATTTTCAGTTTAAGTCCAACTTGTCACAAAAATAAAAAAAATAAAAGACAAAAATCTGAAATCATAAAAAGGTAACTGCATAGCAAATTTCAATAAATAATATTCATTGGTTTAAGAGCTCTGCTTCGGAAAGTGAAAATGGCCAGCAGACAGGCTACAGATATGCTGATCGCTTTATCCCCCGGTTTTCAACCAGGGGGAAATAATGTGTATTGATGAAAGTAGTTTTTCTGTTTTATTGATTTCCTAATCATCCAGATTGTCTGGCAGCCATTGTTCCTGTGACCAAAGCACTTCCTCCCTGAACACCATTATCGGAGAACATAATTGATTATTTGTATCCAGATCAGGTTTAACTTTCTTCATTGCTAGGATTTCAGATTCACCTCGATTCAGACAAAGCACTGTAGCTCACTTGCAACAAGTGCAAAAGTGAGTGAGTTTAGTTTTACGCCGCTTTTAGCAATATTCCAGCAATATCATAGCGGGGACACCAGAAATGGGCTTCACACATTTTACCCATGAGGGGTATCGAACCCGGGGTCATTGGTGCTTTAACCACCAGGCTACCCCACTGCCCATAAGTGAAAATGTATACAGGGTATGAAAAAAAAGGAAACATAACTCTGTATCAATAAGTTTGATGAAGAAGTAAGAATAGACTCCAAAATGTCATGTTATGCAAATTACAGAAGCTGAAATAGAAAAATATCCCCTTCATGCGCATCACTTCTAAATGCCATTCTTTAAGTTTGTGTTTGTTCCCAACATTTCTTTCCAAATTAACACACCACAACAGCTGATACTTAACGGCTGGTCATGTTCCTCTTTCAGATCTGGTCCTTCACTGAAAGCCTTCACTTAAAGATACATATGTTTGAGGAATACCGCATTCAGAGCCTCCATGACTCAAAGTCTACCAACTCTTTGAGACCCTCACCTTCCTAAGGCACTTGCTGCACACCGTCCGCTTACAGAACCGACACTTCGTCCCCCACTCTCCGAACAGGGCAAACTTGGTGATCTTGCAAGAGAAGCAGAGCTGAAACACAAACCTTAATGTCAGAAAAGCAGGTTTGTTTGTGGCAATATTCCATCTGTATGTTTGTTTGTTTGTTGTTTAACGCCAAACGCAGCAATATTCCAGGTATATGATGGCGGTCAGTAAATAATTGTCTGGACCAGACAATCCCATTAGTCACCTTCTAGGACAAGCATTGGTTGCTGAAGACCCATTTTAACCATCACCTTCACAGATTCTACAAAAGTAGTGAGTGAGTGAGTGAGTGAGTTTAGTTTTACGATGCACTCAGCAATATTCCAGCTATATGGTGGCGGTCTGTAAATAATCAAGTCTGGACCACCAATCCAGTGATCAACAGCATGAGCATCAATCTGCGCAATTGGGAACCGATGACATGTGTCAACCAAGTCAGCGAGCCTGACCACCCGATCCTGTTAGTCGCCTCTTACGACAAGCATGGGCTACTGAAAATCAGTTCTAACCCGGATCTTCACGGGTTCTACAAAAGTAACATAAATAGACTATTACTTTCCTTATCAAAAACATATTGATCACATCCAGAGACATATTTTCACCAAATTATGACCATAGATCGACTCTTTTCACGTCAAACAGGTCCCCAGCAGTCTCTAATGACTCATGACTTTTACATCATCGTTGCTCCGAATTTCAGTCAACGGATCGTCTGGTCTAGATTTTACTACATCCAACTGTGAAAAATCTTGAATATTGTCGCAGGTGGCATTAAACAACAAACAGATATTTCCAATAATTAAGAAATGCATGAAACATTATTGTTTCTCATCTTTGATGACGCCTCGGACTGACCTTGCTCTTGGCGACCTGTGAATAGAGCTCTGGCTGGGTGATAAGGGACTCCAACTCCGCCTTGGTGAGCACAGTACGGATATGGGTCACCTCCTCCAGGGTGAGGTTCAGACACTCAATGGGGTTCTGCCACTTCTTCTGAAAGAAACAAACAATGTTATAGAACTATCACACCAGACCATAGACGTGGTTCTGTCACATCACAGCAGAGAGATGGTTTTGTCACACCAGAGCAAATCCACACAGTTCTAATTCTAATTGTCTTTGTTCACCTTACTGTCATGTAGGTTAACTTATTCAGAGTTAGTGAGTGACTCAGGTTTAACACCGATTTGAACAGCATTAAGTCATATCTAGAGATTGTTACACCAGCAAGTGTGTCATACAACTTATAAGAAACAAGTGTGAAATTTTATATTGCCCTCGATCTCACAATACATAACTTTGCAGGAGTTTCGTATAAGTCGTATGACACACTTGCTTGAGAGAATAATTTCTTTATTATCCATTTTATTCATGTACATTTGTGCAGTATAACACGGTAAGCAAGTGTGACAGCCCTCTTCATTGATGTCACAGAGGGCGAAATACAGAAACAATGGTTGCTAGGTAAAAGTGATATGTGCACATGTGCACATATGATATATATGACACTGGTTATGCTTCACCATATGGGTAATAATGCATCTCAGCTTAAAATGAAGGAAAATTAAATTCTAGTACAACTAAAACTGTTGTGAAATACATGAGCACAATTCAAGGCTCATAATATCAGACTGTAACTGATTAAGTTTAACATAGGTACTAGGGCATTTCAAGTCTATTAACCCACGGCTAAGAGCCTTTGACAGTATTCAAAGCAAGACAAAATGTCATTAAAAGTTACTCTTCCCAACAAATATATATACCAGTATTTTTTGTTCAAAACCAACCCAAAATTCCAATTTACACAAGTTTGAAACAAACTGACACAGCACCACTTGACAGTGTTAACATTTGATGAGAGTACACACGTGATGTTTCCATTTCAAACATTTTAGCAGATGTTAATAGCAAGTGAAAGTGATATTTCTCAACTTATTTATCTAAAAACCAAGACCATCATGTCTTAATTATATCTAAAATAACATATCTTCATTATAATTAAAATAAAAGAAGAACAAAATGTGAAAACTTTACTATTCTCCATATTTTGTTATTTTTCAGAATTTATCAAATTTAAATTCTATCAATAACAACTTCTGAAAAATCAAACAAAACAGAACCAAGTGAATTATATAACATGAGGATATAAATGTGATGCATCTTAAAACTTAATCTGTGTGGAATATGAACCCTCAACCTTGATGATGGGACCTCATGAATGTTGCAACTTCAACTGAATTTTGATAATGAAATCCTGCAGAGGAGTTTTTCCCCTTGCAAGGACAGAGTGAGGCTGCAACTTCCACAAGGCGTGACACTATCTGGCCATCATAATGCTATACAAGTCCTGCCCATGGTATATATAGCTGTATTTTAAAAGCCCCATAGACCTGACAACAGACCTAGTCTCAAAGAAATGTGACCAGCCCATGCTAAGCATCTTCAATCATATTTGTGTGTTTCTTCAATGCCGTTTGACATTATTTTCAGTCACTGGCTTGCCAGAATAATGTGAGCGGGAAGCCCAAATTAACACAGATAAAACAGCTTACAACTCAGATGAAGACCATGGATCGTATTCGCACAAAACTATGATTGAACCTCATGACAATGGATCCTGGCTTAGCTAAGGGAGGCAACTCTACAGGTCAGATAGACCACTGGGCTATCACCCTGACAGTGTTCCACATAAGAAACTCACAATTCAAAGGTCAGGTAACGTTTAATGTAAACTAGAGTGAAGTGTCTGAATTTTTTAGAAAGGATTAATAGAAAATAAATAATTTATCTATTCTAGTATGTCGTCTTTCCGGCAAAGAAAACAGAAGAGGAAATTGAAACTGGCAAGGAAGAGTTCATGCAAAGGAAAGTTAAGAAACTGCTCCATTTCATCCCTGGTGTATATAAAAACTTTATATTAGTGACACTTAATATTTACTACCAATACTTAGTAATCCTTATTTAATTAATTCAAATATGATCAAAATGAGCAAAGACAAATATATTAACAGTTATTAGATTTAACCAATATCGCATACAAAACATACAATTCAAACAGATCTCCTTAAAATGTCACACAGATATAATCATTAAATTCCAACCATTAAAAGAATGTTTAAAATTAAAATTCTTAATTTCTGGCATTTTTAGGGTGACAATAGGGAAAATGCTTTGTGCAAATGTTTCTCCAAGGAAAGTTTTTTTGTAGAAATTTTTAGCAAAATGTGTGTAAAAGTTTCATTTGAAAACACAAAGTGTCAACAACTGCATTCATCAACAAAACGTCAAATCAACGGGGTGCGCAAACAATCACAAACACAGAAGCTCGCTGACTCAGCAGTAAATCGATACCTCTATAACAAAGGGATGTCGATAGGGACGTTGGAATAGTTCCTGGTAGAATGAAAACTAAAACGGCAAATTGGTAAATATCAAGAAAATGCTTAAATCAAATACATTCATTCTAGCATGCATGAACTACGAAACAAGTACACGTCTCAAAATTGCTAAAATACATTCAAGCATAGCTATTCTAGTAAACTCATTCAAACTCATTTTTCAAAGAAAATACATTCAAGCATGTCTGGTAAAACTGAGCACAGGTATTAGCAAAACAACATATCAATTTCAAACTAATTACTTTCTCATATAATGATATAAATTCATTTCATTTCTGTTATAAATTTTGGAATTCTCAGCTCTTGATCAATACGAAACACATTAATTCCAATCCTGAAACAAAGAGTCATGTATCACAGTGCAAGGTGAGTTCCTGGTGAGCTCATGGTGAGTCCATGGTATCAAGTAACTAGTCTGGCTGGGAGAGCGTTCATCATGTAACTGTGATTAAATCTTGAAAAATGACACAGCAATGTCATTACTCGCAGCAATCTTGATAAGATTTGAATAAAGAAACCCAATGAGACACAATCTTGATCCTTACTGATTAGGTTGAATGGATATATAGTGATATCACTATGACAGAAATTGACACTAGCCCAAGGCAATCTTTCAGCCAGTAGAAAGTTTCTCTCTTAAACAGTGTGCCTATATGTTAAAATACACTTGACAAGTGCTACAAAAAAAATATTTTTCTGTTTTCATCATCATCTTCATTTCATCATCTGTTACAACTCACACTACCAAACACATATGAATCAAAATTCTCATCATCATCATCATCATCATCATCAACATCATCATCATGATCATCATCCAACATGGTTACAACTCACACAACCATACACTTATGAATCAAAATTATCAAATATGAAGACACTGATTGAGAGAGTTTTTGCTGTTTTAGCAATATTCCAGCATTATAATTGGACGGGACATAACAAACGGGATTCAACCCCAGGTTTTTGGCATGATAACAAATTCTATAACGATTAGGCTGTCCCATCATCCTTCCTTACAAAAGAATGCAAAAAAAAAGAATTCCAAATATGAAGACATCAAATGCCATCTGGCCATTGTTTTTGTTGATGTCATTATGGATATGTTCAACGCAACATGATGAAGCTCTCCGATGGAATCAGACAAACAGGAAAAGGCAAGAATTGTGGGTAATGGGTGAGTTAGATTAAAGACTGTTAGATTACTTACAGGTTTAGGTCGACAGTCTTGACAGTGCGAGTGACCGTTAGACTCTCCATCGCGTGTACATGCAGTTTTCCAGTTCACATGCAAAAGTTCGGATGCATTCAATTCAGACAGATCCACATCACAAACACTATCGGATACATCATGATCCGTGCAACTATCATCGACTTCCGGAATCGCACTTAAACTCCCAGCAGACGACTTCCTGTGTTCAGTTCGTTCAGACGCCATTTGACGTGAATTATTTTGACTAGTCTGGTGAGCTATCATTTGTCGCCGAATGTTACCAGCGCAATACGATGGTGGACTAGTGTAGTGTGAGGAAGAATTCTGAAATTCAACTTCCTCTTCCAGCTCTCTTTCGGGGTCTTCTGTTAAGGGAGGTAACTCTTTCTGGATTACCTTTCCCTCAGTTGGCGATTCGCACACCATGATTGTGTGTCTCCTCTGAAGTTTGCACACTCGCTCCGCAGTGGAATGATCTCGTAGGACTGTTATAGAAAAAAGTTACAATTGTCAAAAAATATTGATTCACAAAAAAAATGTTGAAAATAACTTCTACCCTCATGTACGCTATTTTTTCGTCTTCAGTTTCCGTGATGTTGCATCCTTCCGATCATTAGTAAACAATCGTGCCAAACTGACAAATTGTTCAAAATACACCAAATTTCACAAATGTGCAGTTTTGTTAACAAGCAACAATTAAACCTTTTGTTACGCCACAACTTCAACAAATGGCTTCAGTTCTGTGCAACATCTCAATACAGTGCAACCATGGTGATTTTTTCTGGTGAATGGGTCATGTGCTGGGTGTAAGGAATTGTGGGAAATTCCGCAGGCATGACTGCCCAACAAAAAGGACACTGCAGGGTCAAAACGGACGCTCGTCTTACCTGATATGCAAACTCGTCAAATTGTGATTCTCCAGTTGAATCTCAAAACAAACCATTAACCTCAATTTACAAAACCTCACATATCTTCGTCCTTTCAACCAAATTTTATCTTATCAAAACAGTTGGTCTTTTAAAAAAAGGTAAGCAGAAAGATATGAACTTCTTTCTGCAATGTGAACAATTTTCATCATAATTCCTCCATGATATGAACATCTTTCTACATAATTCCTGCCTCACTGATACAAAATCTTATGCTCGTCATATCGGGTAACACTGCTATACTGCTCAAAATATGATAAACATAAGTGAGTGAGTTTAGTTTTACGCTGCCCTAAGCAATATTCCAGCTATATGGTGCCAAGGCGGTCTGTAAATATTTGAATCTGGACCAGACAATCCAGTGATTAACATCATGAGCATGAAGGTTGTTTCTTAACTGGGTGACGAGTCTTAACGTACCTTAACATCAAAACCATTCATAAATAAAAATAATCCAAATCAGATGATCCGTTACATTCACAATGACACATGAATGGTATCTATACTAACCGGGCCGTTCCATGACAGGGGTAATGTGGTCGTGTACAGGAGACACGGGAGACAGTGGAGAGATCTGGCTGGCCCCCACGTGAGTTCTAACCTCCTCAGCAAGCTGAACCTCGTCGTCAGACACTTCCTCCTGCGACAAGTCACGTGATAATAAGAGATCTTCAAACAAAATGGTCAAGAACACTTGATTCAAAGAATGAGGTTGATGAACATCTCATGCCAAAAATCATAACAAATAAACTAATATAATCAGTTTTTCTTGTGCAGACGTCTGTTTAAAGACTGTTTAAAAAATTGAATTGGATGGTACGTCACTTTTAGCAACATACCAGCAAACTTCATGCGAATGACATCAGAATATAATTTACACATAAGATCCATATGGATTATCGAATCTGAGGCTTCGGCATGATGAACATACATTACGCACTGCCCTAAGTACCGCAACAAGCTACTGAAAAGGTTATTAAATACTTGTAAAGGATCATGTCTGAACAAGTAAATCAGTGATCGATAGCATGAACATCGAACAACATCGAGGTGAGGTGAGGTGAAATTGGGTTTAACGTCGTGCTTGAGAATATTTTGCTCATATGACGACGTGCATGTGTGTGTATGTGTATGTGCGGCTGCTTGTACTAGCCCAGACTTAAGCTGGTTTTATAGTGCTAGCTCACGGAGATACCATGCCGCAGTGAAGCATGAATACCCCACTCAGACACATTATACTGACTCCGAGCCAACCAGTCCTTGTTGTACCCATTAATTCCGAGCGCCAGGCAGGGACCAATAAATACCATATTCTAACGTGTTTTGGTATGACGCAGTTGGGGATCGAACCCGCAACCTTCCGCTCTCCGGGCGGACGCTCTAACCACTACACAACGGAGGCGGTCCATGATCATCGAATCACACTGGGTTCAATGACACAAAATCAACCAGATGACACAACAGTTTAACAGGCCTGAATAGACACAGGACAGATCAGAAAACCAAGTGTTCTGATAATTATACAACTTACCTCAAAACTGTTGTTCAGGAGAAGAGTGAAATCTGGTTTGATTACTTTCCTCACAGGAAGAGGACTTTCATCCGAATCTCCTCGATTTAGTTTCGTCACGCGATGTCTCCACTAAAAGGGAAATATCAAAATTAACAAAAGACAACAACAAGATTAAATACCATACTCAACAAATGACATATTTAACATAGATCTTATCAGTTACAAACAACTACTAACTTACATAAAGGCACATAGACATTTACAGTTAGCAATCTTAAGTTGAACTTTTGAATCTATAGGAATGAAAAAGGAAGCTTGGAAAATATACATCACACTCTGAGAAATTCCAACACAAAGTACACTTGTGTGCAATCATTCTAAATATTTTATCCAACAGCATAACAGTCACACCCTATGACAAAAACATCACTAACACATTGTCCATAAAGTTTAAAACTGACTCACAAAACACTTGCATTAACACCGTCACAGTGTCCTTACTCCCTGGACAAAGCCTTGAATGTAAACACTGTCCTAACCCTACAACTAACTAAGTAATTTAGTCAAACCTGACTGACCACGCTGATCATCGCTGGTCAAACAGCAAGTCATGAGAGTAGCTCTAGCAATCAGTCACACGACACATACTTGTCCTGTCAGCCTCGCCGTGACAACCGGCCATCGTAAACCCCCGTAGGGAGACTTCGACATTCATGACAGACGTATAACACATTCTGTGTCATTATCTAAGCCTGTGTGTGTGTGGACATCGGTTGCATAACGACTGGGTCTTTTTAAGCCATATCCTTGTGGATAGTTCTTTTAAAAAACATTTAATGCCTGTATTATTTCCTGTTTAACCATGTTTCTGTCCCTGAAGTATTCGTCACATTACTGTGAAGTGTGCACGCTCAACATTGGATGAATTCCTTCTGCGTTAGTCGTTCACAACTTCACAGTGGTTGTATGAAATAGCAACATTTGCATGCTTTTACCGACTTTATACTCCAGTATACATAAATCTTGTTTCACGGGGGATGATTTTGTCGTTTAGCAAAATACTAATGAAAATATATAATCATACCCTAAATTAAACTGTTTATTACCAATGATAATTTAAAGATACATTATGAAGTTATACTTGAAAGTTTTGAATTGTTTTTGCAGTTTTGTTTATCAATGCTGTTTTTGTTTTTTAACTTTTACATTTCTTAGTTACCAGTTATATAAATTGTATCTCATTCAAATTATATTATTACATATCACATGGTATTGTGAGTGAGTGAGTATAGTTTTACACCGCTTTTAGCAATATTATCAGCAATATCACCAGAAATGGGCTTCACACATTGTACCCATGTGGGGAATCAAACCTGGGTCTTCGGCATGACAAGCTAACGCTTTAACTACTTGGCTACCCCACTTTCCCCATGGTAATGGATGCCATGATTTCTTATTTCATACCATACCCACCAAATGTCCTTCAGTTCTCAATTTCTACTGCAATACCTAACACCCCCATACATGATACAAGAGCAGAACAACTTCAACATTAGAGTCACGTGACCTGGCTGATGGCGTGTCAACATAATCCTATGGCATGAGGCATTGCTCATACTATCGACCACAGGTTTGTTGCCTTGATATTACTGTTAGAACAACGCTGGTTTAGGCATAAAACAACATTCATTCAGTCCAGTTAATCTTGGTAACTATGGTAACAAATCTGACAGCAGCAGCGATAACCATCATGCGATTACAAAGATGGCGCTTATTACAGCAGCGGGTAGTTATTCAACTAATCATTATTAATGTCAAGAGTTAAATATGGCATGTATGTGCCAGAACTTGTAACAAGTGTATCCAGCTAACAACAGACTTGATTATAATTGACATATTCATACGCTCCTTATCATATTTATACTTCATTAACCTTTCAAGAGCCGACATCATTTAACAATGAATCACGATACTTCGGTTTATACAGCTTGGACTGATTGTGATTTACAGTAAAATGGTGAAAAATGTACTGTGGTCCTGTACCTTACTTCTTTGGGACTTAAAGTACAGTGTGTGAGTGAGTTTAGTTTTACGCCACTTTTATCAGTATTCCAGCAATATCACGGCAGGGGGCACCAGAAATGGGCTTCACACATTGCACCCATGTGGGGAATCAAACCCGGATCTTCAGCGCGAACGAGCAAACGCTTTAACTACTAAGCACACCCCACCCTCCCTTAAAGAACATGAGGTTTGATCCACTGATTCCTTAAAAAGAGTCTTTATTTCTAAAATCTTATAAATTCATTAAATTTATAAAGTCTTCATGAATGAGTGGCATTTGATCAATGATTTCCAAATCTGGTTTAAACAGAAGTGATGGTATAATTAAGATAGAAGCATTGTAGTCTTTCGTAAGATTGGCCAGTTTCACCAAAGTAGGTTTACTGCTTCAGGTCCATGTATACAGGACATATTTGTCTTAATAAGGTAAACAAATCACAATAAACATGATTCTATTAACACCTACCTCAAGTCGACCCAGTCTGTATAAATCCTATTGAGATATTAGCACCATAGCTAAAGAACCACCAGCCATGATGTCACGTCCCAAGCCAATCAAATTGGATTTAGCTTTGACGACATCTGTCCGATATGTCCCTCTGACATGTCAAATTAACTGACCAACGCAGGCGTCTAAATATTGGCCCAGTCTGACAGTGGCCAGATAACCTATCAACTCCCAAAATAGCTGAGATAATGTCAGTTCCCCTTCCAGTCCTACGAGCTGAATGAGCCCTGAGGGGGAAAGCATATTTCTGTCCCACCTAGAAGCAATGCTGAGTATAGTCTGTGATCACAAATGTGAATTACTTACTTAATATTATACACTTAAACACAAGCCTCAGGCATATTCTGGTACCTAGAGTAATGACCTATGCGTGGGCTATATCACTGTTTCAGACCAAATAGTTTAGCATAGTTTAGCTGATTCAGTCTGGGCTTCAAGACCTACATTTTTGTCTAAGACAGTCACCACTTCAAAGCCTATGTTTTTTCACTGAATTATTATGAAGTAATAATTTTTACAAAATTTCATTATCAGCACTTTAAGACTAATTTTTTTCTGGCCATTCAGCACTTCAGAACCTTAATTTTGGTCTGGCCAGTCAGCACTTCAGCACTTCAAGAACCTAAATTTTGCAGCCAGTCAGCACTTCAAGACCTAAATTTTCGTTGGCCAGTTGGCACTTCAAGAACTAAAATTTGGTGTGGCCACTCAGCACTTCAAGGCCTAGAATTTGGTCTGAAACAGTCAGAACCAGTCACCAGTATTCCAGCTATACCCAAACTGTAGATAAACAATGGAATTTGGACCAGACAAACCTGTGATTTAATTACGAGCAAATTCCAACGCTGCTGGGCTTAAATGACACACAATCACCCAAGTCTTTTAGCCTAATCACTCAATACACATTCTAGCCACTGACAGCTGGCATAGCTTGTTCAGGAGCTACTTTAACCCAGAATGCCAACAGGCAGTGTTACATAACATCTTTCAAAGTTCCTTCTCAAGACTAATTGGTTCTGTTCTGTATACACAAACTACCAAACCATGTCATCATCAAGTCATTAACTTAAACAAATGTTACCATGTACTCTGGACTGTCATCTGTCATGGTTCAGTGAACATGACACAGATGCCCTTACACTGACTGACTGAGTTTGTTTTTACGCCGCTTTTAGCAATATTCCAGCAACATCACGGTGGGGACACCAGAAATGGGCTTCACACATTGTACCCATGTGGGGATTCGAACCTGGGTCTTCGGCTTGACGAGCCAACGCTCAGATGCCCTTATAATAAGAGTGAGTGAATGAGTTTAGTTTTACGCCGCTTTTAGCAATATTCCAGCAATATCACAGCAGGGGACACCAGAAATGGGCTTCACACATTGTAACCATGAGGTGAATCGAACCCAGGTCTTCAGCATGAAGAGCGTACGCTTTAACCACTAGGCTAAGCCACCCCCCTCTTTACACTTAGAGTAAATTCAGGTAAATTTACATAACACCTATATTACATACTTGTGGAGAATTTTCTTAAACTATAACAAACATGTAAATACAATCAGGTGATAATTGTTTACAAACAGATTTTTAACAGTGACACATAATCCTTTTTCACATTTTTCTTGAAATTGAATGCTACAGTTAATATGAAACAAGATTTAATACTGCATTCCGACTGTTAAAACAATTACTAAGATCCTAAGTCCCCAAAATGACAACAATTTTCAAAGACTCCATAAACTTGAATTATGAGAAACACTTTCAAAATTCCTAACCTCTCAATCATTGACTCTTCATGCAAAAAGTATTAAAACCCAGATGCCAAGACTAATCCCCCACAACTAGAAAAAGTGAACACTAATCCCCTCACAACTAGAACACTTCTTTAACATCTGAGGCTTTATGACATAAAACTCATGTATTTTCCACACAAACAAACATAAATATCAATGTTTATAATAACTAAATAACCCATGGTTTGTAATTGCTTGGTAGATAAAATTGATTTACACAGATAATCACCTACGTCATCAAAGTTTATCCCTTAATTTACATAACATGTTTTAGATGACAAGACAAGTTCAATGGTTGAGCAAACATCAAGGTATTTGCAGCTTGCGACTGTGACCTACGACCTACATCATCCCGACAGTCACAGTAGCATGATCAGCTATACCCATTTAACAACATCGCCTTTATAAGGTCCACAATGCATCTCTGTAAAAGGAAAGCTGTAACACGTGGGAACGTTTCTTAATCGTGTTTCTCAAATTGTCTACTTTACATACCAGGTTGTTTGCATACAGGGTCATGGCTCCGTGGTGGTTTAATGTGATATGTTTTCACTGTCCATTGAGAAGATGGGGAAATGTTCAGCTTGGATTCAACGCTGATGATTCATGGTGACATATACACACAGTTTAAATATCTTTAAATTTATTTATTTATTTATTTATTTATATATTTTAAAATTTCATTCATTTTTCATTTACTTATTCATTTATTTATTTATATATTTCACCGTTTAAAGATCTTTCTTGATATGCTGTTCATTCATTCATTCATTCATTCATTTATTCATTCATTCATTTGAAATCCAAATTAAATATTTCTGAAACAGACACCACACATCATTTACCACATTTTGTTAAAAGTATATTCTATAAATATTTTCACACTTTGTACAAGTTACTTTTGATCTTGAAAGGCATTAAACAGGCTATGAAATATAAACTCACTCACTCACTCAAAGGCAGTGAGCATTTCCTGATCTGGTAATGTCAAATCATCTTTGAAACATGAACGAACTTGCATCTTGAATATGTACATATCTTTAACAAATACAATCAATCCTGGGTCAATGTCAACTTGAAACAGAAATATGTACATATCTTTAACAAATACAATCAATCTGATCTGATTCACTGATTCATAAGAAAGTTAAAAAAATAATGTAAATTTAATGATAACAGCAGTCATATATTTGTAGTGACACCACCAAAATGCAGACACAATCAATATCAATCTAAAATCTTTATATTTGATGATATCAAAAAGATATATAAAAAATAGAAAAGAAAATCAAAGAAAAGTTAAAAATTCAAAATTGCACAAAGTTCAGCTACACTTGCAACAGTTCTCATACAACAAACAATGTCAAGAGAATAAAGAGATATCTAATGACTGAATATTTATAGAGTGAAGGGTATAGTTTTGTTTGATACAAAATGACAGACGATGGATGCACTTTCAGTGTATTGTATAGCTCACCAATACAATAAGCAATACAACTCACATTTTCTAGTAGACGACATTGAAAGGAACATACATCTGGTATGTCGAGGGTGACGAACGTACACTTTAGTGCATACAGCTTAGCTTGAAATAACATGCCATAATTGCAGTTTAACAGAAACAGAAGGTCAGAGGTCAATACGGTGATGATGCTTGGAGAGGACTTAGTTATGATGTAATTTGTGTTGGCAGGAAAATAGCATCAATAACTGATAGCCTCCATGCATGCAACGTTTGCAAGAAAAGTGTCATATATTTGTTAACAAAGGGCAAAATGTTGTGCTTAAACACTTAAACATGGCATTAATAGCTTGCACATAGTTTACAGGGCATTACAGACCATCCATTAAATGTTTAGGGGGTGAGGTGGGGGTAATAGATTTCTCCAAAACTGAAAAGAACAACCTTTTCGCTGGAAATCCTAAAATTAAAATGTGTTGGAATGAAATTAAGATTATTAGTCATATTTTTTCAGAGAAATTAATGGCATGTTTGGAACTTGTGACTGAAACGCTATATAATCTTTATCAAAAAACCTCTTTCAACCCATGGTCAGGAATACTGCTTTCCTAAATACTTTCCTCAAGCTTATTTATGGACCTTTGCAGTCTTTAAAAGGGGAATGGTGGGACACCGACAGTTGTTGAATTATGATTTACTTCAGAACAATGTAGCTATTAAATAACAAGGATTTACATCTATTCTTGAAAGTCGTCAATTCTGGATGCTTCAACCTTTCAGCCTTTACGATTTCACTTCGTAATAATAATTGTATATTTATTGAAATATCATCAGCCTCATGACATGATACGAAAGTCTTGCGATATCATCATCATCATAAGCTACTGTTCACAAAGGTACCTTTATCAATTTCAAGGTCACTGTTTGGGGAGTTAATTAACCGCAGGAAAACCTGCATTTGGCCGAATGCACGCAGTGTTTGCACACATCGGAAAACTCAAAACTCTTTCAGCACAAAACACACATGAATTTTTGCTTAGTCACAGAAACATTACGAGACAGACAGATATTGATTTTTATAGTTTTTTGCATCAAAACAGTTCAAAACAAATGTACATTCCAGTGAACATGAGTGAATTTTCTTATTTTGTTAAGTGATTCATAGGTTTCTCTGGGTCATCGAAAACATGTTTTTTTCATAAGTATGTACAAATTCTTATGGGAAAATAACAAAAACCTAGCTATATAGATTGGATGAGAAGCTTGGGAGGGTGGAGTGTTAGCATGTGGAAATAATGATTCTACATTCCATGTCCAAAATTTGGGGCCCATAAACCATAAACCTTATTTAATTGCAAAGAGCAGGGCTTACTTGTTTATTAGATGTTTCAAAATCTTCTAAAATTTCAAATTTCTGGAATCAATTTTATTTTTATTCAAGTCATTATACATGCTTACTTGGAATTTCTTCAGTTTAACACCAACATCAATAGAAACATTAAATCACGCAATCATAAATGCTGCTATTGACATACCAGGTCTCCTTGATTAACATTATTACTTACTTATCTATCTAGAAACAATGCTGTATTATTACATAGATGACAGAAATATTCATATGAATGAATACACCTGATGAATTTGGAAAGTAGAGAACACCCCAACACAAATGTATCCTTGTATAAAACAGTTGCAAGTGAATCTCACACCACTAAAGCCTAGTCCTTAAGTTATAAAAGCAACTGTTCGTGGAGAGTTCAACAAATACAAAAACTCAATTTATCCCCACTTGCTCTAAGGAAAGAAACTGATTTGCCTATTGGGAATACTACAAAAAGAGACCTCTAAAACAAGTTTTTCAAATAAAACTTAAACTACACTAAGCACTGAACAAAAATTATCTGCGAATGTGAGATCTTGTTTCAAAACTCTAGATCTGTGGCACACAACAGAATTACAAAGTGCATCACAGCAGATGAAGTGACAGTTGGTATGATCTCACACAGTGCATAAACTTGGAAATGGAGGGAGATGTTGCAACACAAGTTGATGTACTACGAAACTCAGAGACACTACATCTTCAAGAATCAGGGCTATCAGTAACAAGATATCGCCATTCCAGGATCCAATGACAAATATTATTGTTTGCCTAGCAACATGAAAATTATTCGGATTATCCAATATTTAAAAACATACAAGCTCATACAGTTTCGAGGAGAACTTTGTCATGTGGATCAAGGGTGTTATGAGACAGCAGAAACAATAATAGCCCTGATTATAGAGGATGGTAGAAAACTGACATCCATCTTACCTCAATGCCAGTTAAAAAAAATACATTTGTCACAGAACTAGCCTTGTCAAAACTGTGCTTTAATAATTTGACTCATACCTTTTTTTAAAGATTTGATGTTTTGAAAGTGATTTTTACTGTTTTACTGTTATAATCTTCAGCACAGTTTCTCAAACTGCAAGCCATGTACAAGTTGTGATTATTTCACAAAGTTCACCATCCTGGTTTTGTAAGAACAAAATGTCCATCTGATTAGATCTCTTTTCATAAAAAAAAATATTATTCATACAAACAAACATTAAATGGTAGTTATAAATCATATTCTGACTGTAAAATATTTTCAATATATTATTTTTTAATTTCATATTGATCAATGTAGACGAAAGAAGTACATGACTTGCAAAATTTCTAAGGCTACAGCATGGCGCCATATTTTGTAACCAATTCAAAGTAAGGCCAAAATATATATTTTATATTTTATTATAAGCACATTAGTTTTTAATAAACAAACTTTTAAATGGCTGAACATTTTTGCCCATATACCAAGATTGAACAGTTAAAGAATTATCCATAAACACAGAAAACAAATTGGTCTGGATTAACACAATTGTTAAACATTTCAAGTCTGACATTTATTACATAGTCAGTGTATATTAGTTCACAAGAGATGGCGCCAAGCTGTTCTACAGAAGCAGGGAAGGTGACAGTACCTGGGGATGTCTTGTCAGACTCACCAACGAGGCGACCATCTCTGATGGGCCTCAATTTGGGCATAGACCGAATGTCTGTAAGCAGAAGTTCATGGGGGTCGTGGACTTTTGGTGGCGGTGATTTCAACTTTCTGTCCTTCACCTGAAATGAAAATCATTTTCATATGTTATTAGTTTATCATAAGCTATATAACCCAATTGATAGCCACATACGCTGTCATCATCATCCATAATATTAAGAGCTAGCAATATAGATTGTAAATTATCATCACCACCACCACCCATAATACCAGTAAGTACTAGCAGTATACCATCATCATCATCATCATCATCCATAAAACCAGTAAGTACTAGCAATATACATTTATACATCATCATCATCAACCATATTACCACTAAGTACTAGCAATATACATTGCAATCATCATCATCATCACCAAATACATCGCTTTGACACATTCTTGCAATGTGATACCGTCATCATCATCAAATATCTTGCTGATATGACACATTCTTGCAATGTGATACCGTCATCATCATCATCATCAAATACCTTGCTGATATGACACAATCTTGCAATGTGATACCCTTCTTAACAGAAAGTCATGAGACTACATTTTCCCATGTTAAGAACCATATTCCACGATCAGCTAACCTCTAGACACCACCACAATATAAGCCAATCCTATGTCATCCTTCTCACCGTGAACTGTATCAATGCCAGCCTCCTGGCTGCTGAAGAAGGTGGATATTCCAAGTTACATCACGCTCTCAATCCATCACACCACACAAATGCTAAATAAACACCGACCACAAGATAACTCCATGAATATTGTATATCAATCTCTGAACAGTGTTCAGTCAAACAAAACACTCCAGGGTTTCTGTTGTGAAAATACGATGTGTATTTGTGCAAGAGTGCAACTGAAGAACAACGAATCAACTTTTCAATCTTCCACTTCTACCTCCTTGTGCCCTATGAAACATGCACTCTTTTGTCAATAGCCATGACAACTACAATTTTGCTTTACAGAGATATAACCTGCTACTCTTGTAGAAAATCTCTTTAAGTGAGGCTTCATTAAGTAATCTGTTTTCAAATCCTGCTGACAGCAAAGCAATGGAACTTGGAAAGAAAATCACAAAAGCGTTTTTGTTTCATTAATGCAAACTTATTGTTCATGATAAAAAACAGAAGAAATCAGAAAAATTGAGCTAAGCTGAACAATAACAGCACAGGCTGAAACATATTAAGAAGAAAGTTCAAAGAATGAAAAAGACAATCTGAAATGTCTTGTTCTTTATCAATTTTCCAATCAGAACCTTTAACAAAAACTTCATGAACCAAAGAATAAAGAACGCCTGTCCAAAGAGTAGAACCAAACTAAAGAATAATGCTGTTGCATTATGGTAACTCAATAGAAAAGGCATTAAAGGGCTCAAAGATATAAATGAATGTTGACTGGTCGCAGGTGCTCCAGCAGAAACTCGATTTTTTGCCAAGTTTTCAAGACCAATTAATCAAATTTTCCCCATACCCTGTCATCACTGAATCCTCCACAAACCAGAAACCAAGAACATATTCATCAATAAGTAAACATACATAAAAGTCGAATAAATAACCCGATCCATTACAAGAACATTCCAAATGTTGCAAGTAACACAATATACTACTTCCCTACCTCACAATCCTGAACGCGTCTAGCCTTCCCTGTGTGAAGCTACAGAAAGCACCAAATGAAAGACAACTGATAATAATGCCCTTGAGAAGACGTCCATTCACAATTTTACCAAACGGGAAAAGTTTAGAAGAAATTACGCATCTCCAATTTGCTTCCAAAACCACTGATGTGTTTCTGCAGAGCTCGGATCGATATTAAACCAGAACAAGACACCTACACAGATTTTTTTTCAAATCAGAACGTCTGCCTTAAGACATTGTTCAGAACTAGCATGATCTAAAATGCTTAACTGACCTCAACTCCAATAACAATCAATCTAAAGCCAATTACATCTCGCAAAACAGTCTACAGAAGCTATTTTAGCATATTTCACGATATATATATAGATATACCATTTGCAGATTTACCTCTCATCTTTCCTCAAGTAAATTACAGTAGACTTCTTCCTAGTTTCTTATTTATCTTAATTAAGGTGTTAAGACACCACGTTGGAGAGTTGATATAAAAGCTCTATATTTAGTGCAGAAGGATTACCTGTGATGCAGTTAATCAAAAAGCATGTACAAAAAAAACTCTAAAAAAGATTATAGAGCACCTCTAAATATATAGTTCAGGACCAAGGTTTCAAAATCTTGCAAGAATGAGCCATTTCTGATCATCAACACTGGTTCAGACTTCCACAAGGCAGTGGTCTATTATAAACTTTGAGTTACAATACTCCTTTGCTATATTTGCTTTGTGTCATGTTGGAAAAGAGTGTATTTTATTCAACAGGGTAAAATCCCAATATTTCACGTGTGCATTTTAGTGGTTTGCAGCCTAGTGGTTAAAGGGTTCGCTTGTCACGCCGAATACCCAGGTTCAATTCCCCACATGGGTACAGTATTTAAAGCCCATTTCTGGTGTCCCCCACCATGATATTGCTGGAATATTGCTAAAAGCAGCGTAAAGTAACTATGTACAGTATTTCTGTAGACTTAAGCTTAGTACGGGCTGGGCAGAAGGGAAAATAATGCTGTTCACGCACTGTGAAACAGACTAAGCATTTCTGTTACATGGACCCGTGAAGATCCGGTTAAAATTGATCTTCAGCAACCCATGATGGTCGTAAGAGGTGACTAACAGGATTGGGTGGTCAAGCTCGTTAAATTGGTTGACACATGTCATCGTATCCCAATTGTGTAGATTTATGCTCATGATGTTGATCACTGGATTGTCTGGTCCAGATTCGATTATTTCCAGACAACTACCATATAGCTGGAATATTGCTGAGTGCAGCGATAAACAGCAAACCAACCAACCAAATCTGTTCCATCAATGGGTTTCAGCTTGATGTAGGAGGGCAAGTCACCAGTGATGCAGGTCTCCGAGAGTTACTGGTACTACTTTGATGCAACCTATAACCACGATGCTGACAAACCTGGAGACAGAATCAGGGGGAACGGCGATTCGAATCCTTCAATCAGTCTGGTTTCAAAAGAGGGTCGTTTTAGTCTCAGCAACCCATCAAAATACTATTTATTATCTGCAGCCATTATTCACGGTGTTAGCTCAAGATGATTGCGGAAGCATTCAAAACATGTCCATCCCCACACAAAATCAATAAATTCCACTTAAAATATCGGACAGTCAGTTGAATATTCACAAATATATTCCACTGGAGAGAAAAAAATAAAAGATTTCTTTTTTCGTAAAGAGAGCGTGAGAGGAATAATCTGGCATTCCACCATTACTGTCCAACAGCAAGTATTAACAGTTTTCTGCTGTTTGGAATCGGTGAATTAAAGTAAAGCTTCTCAATTCTTAGAATTAATGACATGACAATGAAACTTTAGGGATCAAAAATAGAATTTTAGATTTTCTAATAAAAAAAAATACATATAAAATATTAACGTTAAATATAGAAACATATTATTCCTTCAAAGTGACACAAACATTTTTTCACTTATGTTCAAAGCAAAATGAATAAATACAGGAAATTTGTAAAATACAAGCCACCACCACCAAAAACATCAAATGTATCAGTCTTCTGAATATATGACACATTTCATGGCTAACAACTTCTTTTTATTCTTTATATAAGAATAAGCCTTAATCCATCAAGATAAATACACTTTCAAATCTATGTTCACAGCATAGGTAAATGCATAATAACAGGAAATGAGTTGGTTTTTTTAAAAACCACAAGCAACAAAAACATCAAATGATAAGCCTTAAACCACCAAGAAAAATACACTCTTAAATCTATTTTCACAGCATAGGTGAATGCATACTTGAAGGAAATGAGTTAACCCCCATAAACAACAACAAAATAGACAAAAACAAATGGATAAAGCCTTTAACCCCTGAGAAATATACACTCTATTAAATCTATGTTAACAAATATCAATTCACACACTTACACAAAGGTTGATAAGATCAGGTTACGGACACTTCTACCGCTACCAACAACACTGTCCGGGACTGTCACGACACCCAACACATGATTTAACCGAGCTTTGTGTCCCCACTTTTCCCACCCTCCACACAATGACGGAGCGGGCATGCTGTAAACGTGTTGACCCAGTAAAACACCCCCTCACAAGCCTATTGTCACCCTCACGTGTTGCCGGTAAAACGTCATTTATAAATATAGGTATGAAGACCTACCCTACATTTACTTAAGAGTGTCCAGTATATCGTTAAATGTCTTAGACATTTTCTTGTCGAGTTGAGACGCAAGACTTATCACTGCTCTGTTGGAGGTGGGCGAAAATAGAATAAATGACATTTCTGATCATATTTTTGTTTTAGTTACACAATTATATTGACATGTGGTCAATTACGCTTATCTCATCTTTAAACCTGTCTTGCAATCAAAACTATTGGTTATTCCTGAAGAGAAACACAACACAACACTGACACCTGTGACACATCTGTCTGACACCTGTTGGAGTTCTGTCAAACTTAAAAATCAAACTAATTCTTGCATCTAAAAACAAGTACTGCTAAATGCAATTAATCCAACTTACCTACACAATATGCTTTGAAAGAAACTAAGCCAAACCAAAATGCTCAGCAAAACACATATTCCATTCTGTTTCGGTCAAGGTAAACCTGCCTAGCTAGAAAGATTCATGGACAGTTGTGTTGCACCTATAAATAACTCCAATAGAAATGGGGTTATTAAGATAGTATCGTGAAAGCAGTATTCAGGAACAGTAGACTTTACCTTCTCTATTCTATCCCAATGCAGTCGACCTATTTTCTCTATGTTATATATACCTGCCGAATGACATGTGAGAATAGCTAGAAATAAATACTTGTACACAGCCTTTGGTAAGAAATACCTCTATGTAAATTACACTTTAGGTTGATATACTATCAGCCTGACAACTTGTTTAGGGTATTATACCATCTTTCCATGAAACGTTTTTCAACAATAATCAAAACCAAATACAATGTACCATATTTATGGAGG